GAACTGCAGTCAGCTGAAGTAGCCTGCAGTGCTGCATTTAACCACTGCGCCACCTCGGCTCTCATTGATCCTCCTTGCAGACAGCTGGTCATTTGCATCCTTTTAGAGGGTTCTTGAGGCCACTTGGAGGTTTGTCTGTCTCCTCTGGGTCACCTGAGTGGTGCAAATCCTGTGTAGAAGGAGCCATTTATCTAAGGACCCAAATAAACGTCCAACTGGCCTCAATGACCCTTTGCAATGGCTCCAGTTACTCCAGTTGCAATGACTCAACCTCCCGACTCTTCCTCTTCTGCTGCTTTCCACCTTGTAGTAAGTAACACGGACCCCATTCCTGTTTTGCAGATTTCCTTCAAAGAAAACAAGGAGAACAGCCCCCCGGCGGCCCCTGAAAATCAAAGCCCCCACGGAGGGGAGGCCCCGAAGAAAACCCAGCCCGTCACCCCGTGCTGCTCCTTGAATGCAGAGAACAGCTCACCGAAAGAGACTAATGTCCTGTCCCCAGTCACCGCCAACACGCCGGGTTCCCCGCCGGAATGCGAACGAGACCTGACCATGGCCAAGCGTGTGCGCCGCTCTTACAGCCGCCTGGACATCTCCTTGTCCCGCAGCTTCACAGACAAGCCGGAGTTTCCCAGCTTCAGCCTGACCGGCACCTCCACGCCCGCCGGTGGTCCTGACAAGCGGCAAACCCTCTTCGGTTTCGACAAGCTGCTGCTCCCGGGGGATCTGGCGGAACCCTCCCCTCTGCATATCATCGGTGCCCCCAAGTCGGCGGCGAAGGAAAGCGGGCCCTTCGGGAAGCCAGACACCGACATCCCTGGCATCTCGTTCGGCAGGGAAAAGCGAAGGAAGAAGAAGGTGCCTGAGTTTGATGTGAGTATGTTGTGGCTGCAGTCAGACAGTGAGGAGGTTGGGGAGGAAGATGGGCCAGTCCTGGAGTCTGGGGAAGGCTCTGAGGAGAGCTCTGTGTCGGAGGCAGAGAGGGGCCAGGGCCATATGCCAGTTATCAGCTGCCTTCAGAGTCAGACATCAGTGGGGCAGAAGAACAGCTGGAGCCTGTTCCCAGTGTGCGCATGCGCAGAGCTGCCAGACGAAGG